GCTGAGTGTGAACAGGTGCATGCACTTTACAGCTGATTTAGACATGTTTAAATCTCGGCACTTTGTATGAAGGAGCTAATGCACAACAGGCAGGGTTGTATAAAACACCTGGCAACGCAGCACACATCACATCCTTTCAGAAAGAGTATTAATAAGCAGTGAATTTCCTTGAAGATTTTGCCTACCAATAAAATCGACCTTCAGCTAGACTATTTTCTATATTTCTGTTATTTCTATAGTACCTTAAGATAACAAAAAATAATATAAAAAAACACATCAGACTACGATAATAAATTACAGAAATACAGTAGAGGAAAAATGTGTTTAAAAAAGTAATGAAACATTTGTGGGAAGGCAGGTCACTATCTTTCACACACAAATACCAGACTCATACCAATGTGGGAGATGTGCCCAAGGACACAACAACAGTTTGGCACTTTACAGAACTTTAAAGCTATACTGTGGCACCTGGCGTTCCCAGAGGTCTCCCATCACACTATTAACAAGACCCTGCCCTGCTTAGCTCCTGAAATCTGACAGGATTTAGTCTTTTACAACCAGGTGGCACAAAAGCTACCCACATTGTGACTGACACATACAGAAAATATATACATACAATGAAATATTGTTTATTATCTACCGTATGTTTTCTGTTTTTCTTTTTTATTATTGAGTTGTTGCTGCTGTCCTTGTGATGGCAGGTGATTTGTGTGTGTGTGTATTTTATTCTTTCTTGAAATGTGTACAATCCAGTTAAAGAGGATCAAAATGGTATTATTTTCTATTGTAACCCAACTTTGAAAAATGCAATATTAAAATCACTTAATAGTAATCGTCACTTTCATGTTGTCTCCCATGATGCTACTGTATTTATGATTGAAGTCTGTCCAATCAGAATAACTTTTTTTTTACTGTTTTACTCAAACAGAGCAAAAGACAGGACAAAGGACAAAGTATTATGTCAAAAAGTGAGGGCAAAAAGAAAATGTAAATAAGTATCAAAAAAACATTGTAAAGTCCTCGTGGCTTTGGTTCAGTTCGACTTTGCCCCCGCCACATTTCCAGAGTACACTTTCCAAAGCCGCGGCCTTCGCTGCTGTTTACAACCGTGCGTCTACAAAGTCAAGCTTATCTCAATGCGTTCTGCGGAGGAATCTCTGCTAATATTGTTGAAAATGAACAGAATGTAAAGTTTGCATGGCTGAGTATTGTATGTGTATTGACAGCTGGCATTTAGGTGGATAATGTGGATAAATGAGATGGTTCTTTGCTTGTGCAACACGCTACTCTGTCATTTTGTTCGTTGTGTGAGGTTCAAACCCCGAAGAAAAGAGGTGACAAAGAAAGTTATTTAAAGAGTAAATACAAGTTTAAGTGTACTATTCTGTTCATGATTTCACAGAGAAAGAAAAATGGATGCCACTGTATATATAAGTAACTCACTAACTACCGATCAGCTATCCTTCCTATCCTTTGCAATTCCGCACATTTCTCTGCCATTTTCCCACACTCCGCTCATAGTCCACTTTGTAAAATAGTTTTCAAGAGGCGATGCGACCTTGCACCTTTTTTCAATGCAGAGGAATTTGATGCGCCTCGAGTAAGAGCCGCTCACTGTTCAACGCTCACATTTTTATCACACGGAAATGTTAAAATCAACAGTCTACTTCAAACCTGTTTTTATCAAAGTCTAGTCAAATCTAAAGCGCTGCCTGAGGCGATCTGTCAGCATCTGTTCCACTGTGAATGTACCATGGAGCTCCATGCAGTGGGGTCAGATAAGCTCTTGGTGCGTTTACATGGGGGGCAGGAAAAACACATAAGTGGCCTGTAGTGTTATTTATAATGATTGTTCAAACCGTATGACAGCGTGGCAACCACTGCAAGAATCCCATGTGTTGTTGTTTTGGTCTGCTGTTTGTAGTGTGTTTGAACTACAAGATAGGAAGAAAACAAATGTGAAATGTGAAATGACTCATTACATGAATATTAACATATGCATTTGTTTGTAATACACTTGTTGATTATGACTTAACAGTCAATTTTCAAAATATTTGACTATTTGACGCTTTGGACTGAGAGCTGATTGGCCGAGGATAGTTATATCTTTTTCACTTTTGTGTCTGAAAAGGCGGATCTGTGACAGACAGCAAAGACAGCCTTATAATGCAAAGCTGGTTTACATTTATAGGGCTCACATGTTTTGGGGGAAATAGCAATATGAGTTAATATTGTTTGGCTCAGTCCAAATTCTCTGTCCATAACTTCCTGGAGAAGCAGACGCAGATGTAAAGGGGGAAAGGTGAAGTCAGGTGACCACACAACCAAAGCCCCTCTCTCTAACAGCTTCTTTACAGCATTCCTCTCCCCCACCCTCCCCCTCCCGCCACCCATTCCTCTAGTATTATTTCTTTATTTTTTATTTTTTTCTGTACTATGAATAAATTGAGTCTGTCCCGGACATGAAAATGTCAAATACCTAAAATACACCTAGGCTAAATAGCATATTAATTTTTAATGCCTGCTCATCCTATGCTGCTATTCTCATATCAGGCCTGTCTGCCAACAGCTGTTGCTGGCTCTCCGGCTGGGAATTTATCATCCATCTAGCTAAAGGAGGGAGAGCGCAAAAGAATAAAAAAGATGGCACACATTGTTCCGAAGACAAGGAATAAAGGGGAGAGATGCACGCACGTTTTCAAGGATCCTCACCTCGCATTTATAACACGGCCACCTCGCAACTTTCCTTACTTTGATATACGAGTGCGATTCAATTACTCTAATGCCAAACATAAATTGTTCCAGAATTTGCTCCTCTTTTCTGGCTGATGATGCGCACACGGCCCTCATACATAAAAGAGAAATAAGGAGCGGTGGTGACATTGACGCTGGAGGTAGTGACATTGGAGGAGCCGCTGAGGGAGGCGAGAGGCGACGGAACAAGCAGGCGGAGCGGGCGCTGAATGCCACCCATGTGTGTTTTTAGGTGGCATGTGGTGGATGATTATCATAGATTATCACAATCCAGATTGTTACAAGTTCTGTCGGCGCGCATAGCAGCAGTACTGTGGTGTGCTGTGTGGCGGTGTGTGCGTGGTGTGGTTTAAGAGAGTGCCTTTGGGGATAAGACTAAATGCTAGAGTGAATGACGAACAGTTGGAGTGTGTGTTCGTTTGTGTGCGGTTGCCAGTGTCTATGCGCCGTTTTATCCTTACTGTAAAAGAACCAAAAGCGGCACAGTTTTGCAAATCAGATGCAGCTATGTAAAGTTAGTGACAGCCACTGATCCGCGGACTCTCAGACCAGAAAACCAAAACAAAGAATTAACATATGTGCATTCAAGACATCTGCATATATTCAAAGATAGACAACATTGGCATTGTAGTCTAAAAAGTGTACTGCTTTTTACTGGTACTTACAAGTAAAGCATCATTTATCCTATTTCTTATTGTTTTAATGTAAGAGATAAGAGGTTTTTGGCAATTAAAATGACAGGTATATGTGAAATAATATTGTGAAACATGTATAAAGGGTAAATAATGGCGCTACCATCAAAGGGAGGGGTAGCATTTGTTTTATATATTTTTTCCAAGTTTGAAAATTACCTGCAGAACACACAGCCATGTGATTGGGATATGAATTATATTATGGGCACAGCTTTTGTCATAGTCACAGTCATAGGGAGACGTCATAGTCACTAGTGGTGCAAATACTTTTTTTTTTATTTTACCTTTATTTAACCAGGAAAGTTCCATTGAGATAAAGAACCTCTTTTTCAAGGGAGTCCTGGACAAAAGTTACATACAGTACAAATACATCATACTAGTACAAATACATCATACTAGTACAGAAACTCAGATAGAAGCGACAGTGTTAATGTTGTGCTGTGAGTGAGTTCTTGATATTAGTGTGGTTAGATCTAAAAAAAAAACTATTGTTGATGGGGGAACAACTTTGATTAAAGTTCAAAAACGTACATTTTCCTTTAAGTCTAAATCAACTATTCCAATGTGGTTTAACTGCAATTGGCAAATAAATTAATCTGAAATCTCAAAAATCTTCTACAACATATAACCATTTGCTTCTTTATATAAAACAATGGATTAGTTTAAGTTAAAGTTCATACTTGATTTGTCTTCCCAATAGAAATGCTTCTTCGATACGTTCTTGATGTGAAATGTATATCAGGACCAGACTGTATAGCTACTGACACTGTGCCTTCCTCTTTATGGATTTAACCAAAACAAGGTGATTCTCAGAAGTAACCACTCGTTGGCTCAACTTACAGATCAATGTCAGCGTCTATTCTCCAGAGAGAAGAAATCATTTACCTTCTGGACATTTTAACCCTAATGACACTTGAAAAAAATATATGTATTTCAGCGTTTTTATCTGTATACAAACGTTCAGAAATAATGTTTGAAATGTTCCTTGAAATTAGTTTTTTTCTGTAATTGGAACATACTTGATGTTAAAGGGTCTAATGTGAAGCTATAGAAGTATAAAAGGACTTGGATCATATTGACCAATCAGGGAGAGTAACTACTAACTTAACAATTCATACTTATCTTCAAAGAAAAACTTCAATGAACAATTAAAAAGCTGATTTTTTGCTAAATCATTATGAATACTTTCAAGGGGGAGGTAGTGGAAAGATACAATTAAGACAGTGATGCCCTTAGCATATAACAAGTGGGGGAGAGAGGTGTATGGTCAGAGAGTGGTTTGGTGTGTGTGTGTGTGTGTGTGCGCGTTTGTGTGTGTGTGTCTTGTCTTGTAACATCGGTCTTAGCTGATCAATTTGCTATATGTTATAACTGTATGTATTGTCCGGTTTCTACAGTATTGTATTGTTAGTGTATTGTATTGTGTGTGAGAATTCATTGCAACAACATAAGCAATTGGTTCAGTTCATGTATTTTATTTCACTTTTCTCAATGGCGATGTGTAAATACGTGTGGTGAAGGTTTGAAATAATAAATGCAATCAAAAATGGTACCTTAACACGCTAACAGCATACTGGAGTGAAGCTGCCTGTTAGGATGGAGTGGGTCCTCGGTCTCTGCTCTCTGTGGACGGCTGACCCCAAAGACCACCTGAGGACACAGACAGCAAACGCTTTAGAACATAAGTGACCATGAAAAGCCAACCAGCCACCTTTCGAATAACAACAAAATATACACAATAGATAAGATTAGTGGTGGTGTTTTTGGGATTTCGATTCCCTGATATTGGTTCGGCCCATTTCCTCTCTGGGCCATTCATTTTCTTACATACTACTGTAACCTGTAATTAAGATTTGAACCTTATTTACATGTTTGGTGAATTATATTTCAATGAATGCACTGAACAATTTAAAAAAAAATAGTTTTCTAAAGCCATTTCCGTCCTTAAATGGCTCATAAAAAGCTGAATTGGTGCATCCCAAGCGTTTTTATTACTGTGATAAAAATAGCGATCATTCGTGTTTGACCAAATGACATGTTTTGTGAGAAAATATTATCTGCAATTGAGTGTTTGGATGATGGACAGGTTGGCAGCCTTGCTTGCATGAGTCTCACCCAGGGCAGGTGTGGAGTGATAATGGACAATAAACCCAATTGTGAATATCCAAAGAATCACTGGAATAAAATCACCCGATCACTCAAAATCCACACACAAAATGCAATCCTTGCGTTTGTCGAGAAGCGAGATGACACTGAAATATAGACTTTAAGGCCCAGAAGAGGAGGAAAGAAAGGGGTCGATGTCAAGATGAAAACGTTACAAATTCAACCCGGGCCCCGCTGCAGAGGTCAAGGCGACGCTGGCGAAAAAGGTTAAAGATGAAATCAAAGCCGCGCTGCTGCTGCTATGCCCGGAGGCTCGGCTGAAAACCTATCCCTCCCAGGCAAGGCCACGGCTGACGCGGGCCAGACAAGAAGCTAAATACTGCACGCCACTCGGGGATCTTTCATTTTCAAACCGATCAATAAGGGCTTATATTTATCAGGGCCTCGGAGCAGCTGCCACATCTGACAACCCGCACTTCATTTTCGCACTCCTCCCTCCTCCTTTCGCCGGGCTCCTTCCACCACCGACAACGCGCACTAAATTGAGACTCATCGACCATGAAAAGGGGCAGAGACCCTGGATTGCCATTAACCCCCCTTGTGTCACCGCCACTAGACCACCGCACACACATAGACTTTTGCATATGCCCCGGAGATACCATTCTGTTAAAGGTCTGCCCCCTCCCTTCGTTAAAAGAAACATGCCCAATCATTACGGACTTGGCAAGCGCGCCCGGTCTATCCTCTTTTGTTCTTCAAGCTGCCCGTGCCACCCCCGGAAGACACTTAAGCGCACATGTTTAGCAGTGCACACATGCTTTCGTCGCAACCTGATTTGACTTGGAGGGAAATTTACCTATAATATTGTCCCGAACGTGGTGAAAAGATAAAATTGGGTTTGAGGGGGTTTGGGTTTTAAAATAACCGTCTAATCATCTGCACAACAATTTTAGCTGTAAGGCATTCTAAATAGATTATCGCGAGTCCATCTGTGTCATCATTGATTTATAAGGCATTAAGCTGCTAGGGGAAGAGATAGGGTCTGGCTCACGTTGCTGTTAAAAAGGGGCATGTAGTCAAAATCAGGGGCAATGGAACAAGCACGACTTGGATCTAACCTCCCCTTTTAACCGGAAAATAGGACGTTTTGTGTTTTTTTCCCCTTCATTCTCAAAATAGAAAGTATGAATCCGAAATTTCTGCTTTCTTTTTTGTTCGGTGATACAAAGAAACAGGGAGGAGGGGAGGAAGTACAGGAGGAAAAAGCAAAAGCGTGGAAACAAATAGCAAACACGAATGCACATACACACATGCAGAAGAAAAAGAGAGAAAAAAAAAACAAGGGACATCATTAACATATGAATGCTATATGCAAATAGTGGGGAGAGAGCAGATGTTGTTGCATTTAATTGACCTATATGTGAATTGCATCCAAACCTTTCAGTGCGTTTTGGGGGCCATTGAATACAGTGCGAGGAGCAGTGACTTTAGCGATGCTGAAAGACTATGTCACTCTAAACACTGAGGTTTACGGAAGACTTTTTCTAAATGGTTTGAGGAATTATTTGAGTGTATCCACAGTTGAGAAAGACTTAAAAGAATCTTAGCTTTTATATTTCATGTCGTTAATGGAAAACGCATGTAACGCAAGTGCTGAATCCCAAACATTTCATTTAAATCGAATACCTCATCAACATTTAGAATACACTTTTGATACTAGTGAAAAAAAAACGTCATAATCAATTCTGATCCCACGGCAAGGATTTGTAAACATAATTATTAAACTTAATTTTTACCTCAAATTAATAATATTTTGTATAGGGTCATAAGAGTTTTATGAAAGTTCTTCTGATACAGTTTAAAAGGTATCAAGAAATATTCAAGAAATATCAAAATGTGTCAATTCATGTCAATACTTTCTTCTCTTAAATTAGAACATATTGTTTTAGGTTACTCAATACATTTTGATACTTTTGACCACCCTTAATCAAAGTCACAATGTTTTTCAGCAAATATCAATACACATTTTTGGCAACCCTTGTATAAAGAAGGAGCCACTCAATAGAAGTTGGTTTAAGTCAAAAGAATCAATATCCAATACACCTTAGTCATGGGGAGAACATGCAAACTCAGCTCATCCAAATCCACTCTGAAAACCAAATTGTATGCATATATTTATCTCTTTTGTTGCCCTGAGTTCCAAAGTTGTAATCACACTTAAATCGCAGCTGAAGCGTAGCCAGCCTTACCTCTTCGTGGTGTTAAAACTGTCTTTCCATAACTAGGAGATGTGAAACAATGGATTTTTGAGGTGATCACGGCGACTCTGCATGTGGTTGAGATGATTTAACGAATGCAGCACGCTCTTCATGTCGTTTCCAGTGCTAACAGCTAGGTGCGTTTTAACGACACGCATTTTGGCAGTTCCAAAACCACAGCGCGAAACCTGGGACGATGACACCTTCACTAACTGTGCGCATCCCGCTGCCAAAGTCGAGTTAACTAATTAGTCCGATCTGAAGAAAAAAGCTATGATTTTTTTTAAAGCTGTGACGAATATTGTTTAAACTCAGGATATTTGATTATTGTGCAAAAGTGAAATTATTTAAGTTAAAATGTAAAACCCAATGAATAGATATTAGTTGATATTGTGTTATTGGAGATAATGTTTGGACCAAGATATAGACTTATGAACGCATTGTGGCATATTATAATTTAAATCATTATGGCTCATTTTCAAAATATTCACATTTTCAGAGACGTTTTATTTGAGGGTTTTTACATTTCAAAGTTAAAAACCCATTTTAATTCCGGGTTTTTTACCTTTGTCTTGTATCTATATCTCAATTCCAAACAATTGACCAAAATAAATACATTAATTCATTCATTGATTCATGAGTTTGACATGGTTTCACATTGTACGTTTAAAAAGACTTTTGAACAATATTCTATGTTTTTTAGTTTCACCATTTTTCAGGTAAAAGTTGTAGCATTTTACATTTAATCTTAGATAAGGAAGTGTTATTGGGCTCATTTTCATATTTGCATAATTAAGGCTGAAAAACTGAAGTGCTTCTCACTGTAATTTAGTATATTTTTAGACGGCAGCATGGGGTAAGGGGAAGATCAGTGTGAATTAACATGTTATTATTTATCCTTATTTTATGTTTTTGTCGCTGGCATGGCAGTGTGACTGACACCTGAGCCACACGCTGCTTTGGCTCAGTGTAACATCCGTCTGTGCGCTCCAAACAGAGGCTGGATCTATGTTATGTGAAAGAAGGCCATTATAATAGTTTTCCCTTCTTGTTTACAAAAGCAGCGTGGAGCAGTCTGCATGTTTGAGTGACCTTTATTCTCAAGTGTTCAAAACTCAATTTCTCAAATGATTCCCATTTTTATAGCAGAACACGCCCACCGGTCTCCACTTCCTCATGTTTGTTTCTTGTATTCTTAGTTGGCATTTTTTGTGATATAGAAATCAACCGTGCACTGCCACTTTCTATATTTCAAACTGGGGCGCTAAGTTTTTGACTTCTCATAAATGTGCACTATGTTTGTCCTGCCTAAACTATTTGACTTGTGTTCACTTATAGCAAATTGGCTTAATAAGGGTCCTCTCTTTTTCACTTTTCTGTCTGAAAAAGCTGATCCCAGGATGTGACTATGGCCAAAAAAGACATGGACGTGGAAGCTAGGACCAGACCAAACTAGAATCCTATACATTAAAGTTGTTAAATTTGCTGTTTTATAGGTTTAAAGTTACATACCCCTAATTTTAGTAAGGAATATATTGGAACTGTGCCGTCCTCCTGTGGACTCACCACCTGCAGAGGATCAGTGAGGGGCTGGTGCTATGAGACTTGGGTGGCATCTCTGATTGCCACCCCCCTGACCCAGAAATGGATTAAAGGGTAGAAAATGGATGGATGGATGGATATATTGGAACTATATTGCAGACAAAAGCATTGTTAAAACTAAACCGATGATTTGAAGGAAGTACATTTGTCTGTCGAATGGTTTGTACATGTTTAGATATAAATGAATCTGAGTCTAAAATAAATACTATACACTCCAAGACAACTAAAAAACCTGCACAACGCTAATGCCAAGTTCCCTCTGAAATATGCTTATGTGAAGGAGTGGAAAAGTGAAATGACCCCACCACATTATCCAACTGTTTCTCTCCCCTTAACACGGCATGAATTATCAAGAGCTCCACGAACGTACAGTCTGATGAATCTTTGCTTAAATTACACTGGGACAACAAGTTGGGCCAAATGCCAGGGCCCAGATGGATACTCCGGTCCACTCTCCTACTTTATCACCCCACTGAGTGCATGTAGTGGAGCAGGTATACGGGACAGAACTGAACAGAAGAGGAGCCGAGAAAGCATTCACGCATTCTAGCCTGCGCTGTTTGCATGAGTGAGCCATGAAAAACACAGATGCTATTTTCATCTGGGCCTCTCTGTCTCATTTTTAGTCGTTTTTCTTCTCACTCCCAATCCCTCTCTTCCCCTACATTGCCCCTCCTCCTGCTC